CACATATGCTCAACAACTTTTAAGCGCATGTTATAGCGGTATTGTAAGCGTCGCAATAGATAGCCTTGTGTGCGGATTGTTTATGCACATATGTTGTCAAATTGAGATTTTGGAATATCGTCTGAGAAAAATTTTAAGCAATCAACTTACTGTTGCTTATTGCGTACGGCATCATAATCGAATTTTTGAGTTAGTTATCATTTTAGCGCCCAAAAGTTATACCTTATTCAGCATTGCTATCATATGTAATTTATTTAGCAAAGTTGTGCGATAGAAGTCATATATTTTCTCCGTTTTTATTTGATTGATATTTCTTTGATTATAAAGAAGTAGGTTAAAAATTCTATGCTATATGTCCAAATGATTAAGTGCACTAAAATGTTTAAAATGTACTTACTTTTACTATTATTGTTGAAGTGTAATTGTCATTATATAAATAATTGTTAATTATACATATACTTCTACCACTTACTTACTTTTATCGTCTTATTTATGGATATATTTGCTATTTATGGATATATATTACTATTTTATTAAAGCATTAATCTTTTCAATCAGTTCTCATTTTTATCGTAACTTTTTTCATAATTAATTTTAGCATTAAAATCATAATAAGTAAGTTAACTTATTATTCATAAACTTTATTTGCTCTATACATATATAAGTTTACGATTCTCTAAACGCAAAATCTCAATTGCAGGTTTTCGCAGTTAGTGAATATAAATTTTACAAAAATAATTGGATTTCAATTTATGGCGAGTGTTATGATAACATGCACAAATTTGTATCAATTGACTAAGTCAACTTTCAACGCAGACCATTTTTCATTAATTACATTCACAGGCGCAATGCTAACGCAGATATTTATTTATTGTTGGTTTGGAAACAAAGTCAAATTGAAGGTATATCTCATAGAACAAAAGCTTAGAAGTGATAAATATAATATTTTACGTATTATTTCGCAGAGTCTCCAATTAACAGATAGCATTTTTCAAATGGAGTGGCCAAAAATGAACAATAATGTTAAGAAGAGCTTGTTGATAATTATGAAACGTGCAATGACACCCATTGAAATTTCTTCTTTATATATCTTGACTATGAATTTGGATTCCTTTGTATCGGTAAGTATATAAATATTTATCCCAATGTACCTATAAAATTTTATTATAATTTAAATAATCAAAGTACTTCACAAAGCTTTATTTCTGCTTCACAGTTACATTTAATTATCTAATAAATCTTCTATAATTCCTTTGTAAATTTGATTATGCACATAGATTATATAATATTGCTCGCCTATTTATTATATAAATATTATCGTGATTCTAATAATGTTTAGTGTTTTTTTATCATTTCAGTTGCTTAAAACATCATATTCTGTTTATAACTTATTAATACAGGTACAAGAATAATAGAAAGTAAATGATAAATAAAACAAAACAAGTTAAGTTAATTATAGTAATTATAAAAAATTGTAATAAAATGATTGTTATTAGTAATAAATCTAATGTTTATTTTATTTATTAGCTATAGTTGTATAAAATATATGTATGTACATGTATACGACATTGTTTTTTATATTTTAAAAGTATTTTTATACATACTACCAAAGGAACATATCTATAAATGTTATATATTTTAATTTAATACTGTCAAAGTCACTCTCTACTTTAATGTACATATAAGTTTTGTGTTTACAATGGATCAAAAAAGTATTTACACACCAAGTTTTCGTTATCTTTATTCGAAGGAATAATACATAAGTATAACTGTATCCATAAGTAATTTATTACATACAGTATATGTAATAAGTTACTTATGGACACAATTTGTACTTATGTATTATTCCTTCGAATAAAGTTATTGTAAGAAAACTGGATGTGCAAATACTGTTTTGATCCACTGTATATGTTATAATTGAATATAAAATATATGATACCTCGTATAAGGCGTTGACATATGCCATTGACTTTTTTCCAATATCCATATGTAGAGTGATTAGAAGAATTATAAAATAAATCATGTTGTATAGTTAAAGAAAGAAAACTGAAATTGCACATTCAGAAAAGAACTTGACGTTAATAAATGAAATATCAGAAGATCTTTTTTTCCATATGCTTGACTGTTTTAAGCTTTATAAACGCATACCTCTAATGTCTCTTTATCTTTCTATATTGCATGTGTGAGAATCAAGATTGAACGACTTCTAAGCAAAGGCAATATCAAATAAAATATTTTGTCTTTGATGCATCGAGGTATTATTGTAGACATTATTTTTACCTAATACTTTATTAATGTGTCTTTAAAGAATTTACTCTCTTTTCTTTGTTATATTAGAATTTTGCCTTTTCTTCTGTAAGTATAATATATGAAAATAGTTGATCTCTTATATCAGAGAGAAAAGTTGCATGTAGAAATAATTTGTCTTGCTATTTTGCGTAAATATCGCTTTGAAGAGAATTGTTGCAAATTTGGTATCATGAACATACGGTTATTAATTATGTAAGAAGAGAGAGGACTTATTGTCAACGTTTATTATCAGAGAACCGCGTCACAAGTCTATAGACATTCCTAAGTACACTCTCTTGAAATAACATTTTTGTCTTTACTTCACTGCAATAAAGAACCTGTCAAGTTAAAACTATCTTAAAAATAATAAATGTGGTTTAAATATTTTCAAAATTTCTAAAACAGTATCGAAGCTTGTAACATACGTTACATAAGCAAATATATTTGTATTTTTTTAAATTCAAACAAGACAAAAATGCATATTTTAAAGTTTACATTTTTAATCGTTACGTTTGTTGGGTGCTTTCGACCGCTAACTTGGACATCGCAATTTAGACGTGCTATTTACAATCTCTACAGAATATTTATAATTACCATTTTATATACTTTTGCTTTTTTACAATTTATGGATATTTTGCTGAACGTCGACAATCCCGACGACTTTACTAATATTTTATACATGGCTTTAAATGTGTCCGTTTCTGGTTTCAAATTACTGATAATGTGGCTAAATTATGAGAATGTTACAACATTAATTACTGCACTTAACGAGGAACCATTTAAACCGTTGGATCCAGCCGAGTTGGGAATTCGTCAAAAATTTGATACATTAATACGGTAAATATATATTATATAAATTATATATATTTAACTTTTATTTAACTATGATTTCTTTTGAGACATAAATTTTTAGGTCTAATACATTACGCTATTCGATTTTGATTGCGACATCATGGACGTTTATGAGTTTGATGTCATTGCTCACTGATTTTAGACACAGAAAGTTAACGTATAGAGAATGGGTGCCATACGATTATTCATCTTACATGGTGTTTTGCGTTACGTATGCTCACCAAATTCTGAGCACGTTTTATTGTGCTAGTGTGAACGTCGCCTGCGATACTCTCATATGTGGATTCTTAATGCACGTATATTGTCAAATAGAGATGTTGGAACATCGCTTAAAGAAGATCTTAAGTGATCAAAGTATCTTGGACTACTGCATACGCCATCATAACAGTATATTTGAGTTAGTCATCCTAATAATAATTTTATATATATTTTTATATATTTAGTTAACTAAAAAAACGTTATATATAAAATTCACGATTTCCATGATGTACTTAATTACAATTATCCTGTAAAACAAAACAACAGTATACATTAAAATTCTTTAATTTCTATTATTGTAAAAAGAAAAATCTAAAATTTTGATTTAAGATAACTAAATAATATAATTTGTTATTATCTTTCCTTTTATATCTAAACGACTCATTTATATTTATTTTTTATGCTATGTTGTTAACACGTTCCAATCTGCATCATTAAATTCTTTTAAACCACAATAATTATTATAATATATAGCTGTTTTTAAATAATAAGTCATGCTTTTGGATCAATATGCAACATACATATCCGCATATTATAAAATTAAAAATTTGATTTCAGATTTGCGTGTTCGATAAATGCAAAATTTTCACAAATAATCGGATTACAGTTCATAATAAGCACATTGATAATATGCTCTAATTTGTATCAGTTGAGCCAATCGTCGTTAAACACAGACAGTATTGGATTAATTGGATTTACGTGCTGCATGTTAACAGAAATATTTATTTATTGTTGGTTTGGTCACAAAATTAAATCAAAGGTATGTCTAATTGAGATATATCTAGTCCTTTTTCATCTCATAATTTGTGTCGCATTACTGTTATATTCATTATTCATAATAATCATATTAAATCACACATTATAGTTTCGCCTAAATAAAAATATTATAAAATGATAACATGTTGTACATAGAAATATTTAAAAAGTATTTTATTATTTTATATATTTAAAACTCTTAAATAAGAAAAATATTATTTTGCATATTAATTTGCAGAGCGTTCAATTATCGGACAGCATTTTCCAAATAAAATGGCCAATGTTGAATAACAGCGTCAAAAGAGATCTCCTAATAATTATGAAACGCGCGATTGTGCCTATCGAATTTACTACTGCACATATTATTAGTTTGAATTTGGACTCTTTCGTGGCGGTTAGTATAGTAAATTTTGTATTGTGTAATATCCATCTATGAATTTTTACTATGTTTTATTATTTTAGCTACTTAAAACATCGTACTCCGCTTATAATTTATTGGTACG